GAATTAAAAAACGAAAATGAATAGGCATAGATAGAAGCCCAAAGGCTGCAGTACAACGCGAATCAGGCGTAGTCTTCTGGTGAGATCGACCTATGAGACTCTTCGTGCACTCTCATACGAAAGAAAAATCTCCCCAAAAATGTTATCTCAGGAGATTAATCTTCGCATCATTATATGTCTCTTCAATGAAGTCCTATCATGCTATTAAGTACACTTGGCTCTTTTGACCATTGGATTGCAATTTCGATCTCTTCCTGGTAGCTTCAGCATCTAGTAGCGTTTTTGGAGAACGAAGCATGCGTAGCAGACAGCAATATACTTCTATTCGACAAAATATTTTGAGTAACATTTATTGAGAGGACATGCTCCTACAAACACTTCCAAGTAGTTAGCAAGAATTTGCCACGAGAAATGAGCTATATTTTGATAGCCATACTTCGTGTAAACTTCGCATACGCGACTGAAAAGTGCTTTAACTATTGTTAGTTTGTAGGGAAAAAAATCAATCAATAGAAGAGTCTATTGACGAAGGTGACTTTCTAAGGATGTAGTAAAAAACATATTAAAGAACTTTCTTGCTAGTTTTTCGATAGATCAACCTCATTTTTGGATATCGAGTTACCTCCGACAATGAGCAATAAGCTATTTTTCCAAAACCAAGCTACAACTCATCAGAGAGTCTCGCTCACGAGAGTCAATTAAGTCTGAGTCAATGTATCAATCTGAGGCCCTTCCACGTGGCTGAACTGTCCACTCAGTATTTTTAAATTCGTACACCAAAAAGTTGCATACACTCAATTGACTAAGTAGAGAAGTTTGCTATGAGTTCATAACACTTTTAAAATGTTGTCTCGCTCACAAGCAGTCTGTATCTCTGTTTCTGTCATATAAGTTGTAATTCAACTCGAGTGATCTGAACAGAGGGCTCTAAATGCGGAGGCATTCCTTGTTTTGCTAGTAGAAGACATTATGTCAAAGCCCTTAATTAATGTGTCCTCTCAGAGGCATGTACGCACCTGAGCACATACGGAAAACAGATCAACTAACCTTATGACGAAATGGAAGTATAACAGGAGAAACCTTAGAAATGGGATTTTTATTGCCTTAAATATGGCAATTTTCTTAAGGTCTGATCCTCAGTTATCTGTAAGTATTCATACCTTCCTTCATAATACGACTCAATTAGAATCGCTTTTTCGCCTGGGCAAGATTTCTATAAATACATATAATAGCGGGTCTGATATGATCTAGTTTGTTATCGAATCTTGCTTAATAATTAAATCGGAAAAGATATCCTTAACTATGATCATAACCTAAACTAATACCAGACAACTGGTCTTAAATATACACATTAAAATGCGGTCCACCCCGACAGAAGCAAAATTCATACTCAGGCACACATATTTCACATGCGTATAAGGCCAGAAAAGATAAGTGGAGATACGAAAATATCTTGATTGAGAAACATTAATTTCAGTTATCTATATATGTAAGTTACTCCTATTATTAGATAAAGTATGCATTCACAAATAAACATTATAAAAGTAATAAAAGAAGCACCAGAGGAGAGCTCGGATAATGAGTTGATTGAGAGATGTAAAGGATGGGAATTAAAGAGAACATACTTTCAGTTTCCTTCTCTTTTTCCTTCTTTTTCTCCTCTCTAGCTCGTTCCTTCTCCTTTTCTCGTTCCCGCTCACGTTCTTTTATCCTCTCTTTGGCCGCTCTTTCCGCCGCCCGGCGCTCACGGCCAGCCACTTTGTTCGGCTCAACACGAAGCGACATCTCAGTGAGTATTGGGGGCTCGCGGACAACGCGAAGATTGGCCAAGTAAGTTCGAACGCGAAGCTCCATCAACCAGGCTTCGTAGGCACGTTTCGGATTGCCAAGAGCCCCACTTCCGCTCCCAATACCTGCTACTCCAGCCGTCAAACCAGCCGTGGGAAGCAGGCTACCAATAGGATTCGTCGAGGGGACAAAAGAAGAGGGGGAGGCCGACATGTTGGCTGCAATGCCTGAAGTAGCACTAGTGCTTTGGGAAGCAGAAAGGGAGGAAGTAGAAGACATAGGAGATGCAGGTCCGGGAGGTTTGCAGCGAGAGTTAGCCCCCGTCTCACCGACAGACGCCTCATGGGAAATAGGGGAAGCAGGACGGGCAGTTGGAGCTGTGGTTCGTTTGAGGGTTGTAAGACCTGAACGAGAATATGGAGATGTGAAAAAAAGTGTCTAAACATCACACATAATGGACAAAGATGGTTTTATTCTTGAGTAGGTGTCTCGATTATTTGTATGCTCATCTCTGAACTCCTGAAGTAAAGGTAACAGAGATAGGCTTAATCGAGTACCTCAAATATGACAGGCCTTCATATAAATGAGGAATAGATGGTAGATAAGGTACAATATTATGCATGTTTTATGGGAATTTTCACATTTTTGGCTGTAAGCAAACATGAAAACGCTGTTTTACTCGCTTAACGCGATCCTTATTCAATCGAATAAAAGCAATTGAGAAATTTAATTATATCTTTATTGCTTGCTGAAAAGAGCTAGAAATTCATTATTAGTTATGTTCTCATGGAAATGACAACAGATTGGGAGTAAACAGAGCAATCAACATCCTGAATAGAAAAGACAAGTGTGGGAAATAAATAAGAACCTATCTCTGGAAATTTGATAGAATAAGAGAGCAGAACAGGGCGAACAATCGGGTAAGAAGAGGAGGCTTTGTTAATCTGAAGTTTGAAGTCTGATTCCGGCTCTTAGATCTCAAATTACTCGGGTATAATATAAATACAACATATGCATAACCACAACCAAATATACAGCAATATTGCAGGATCACATTACAAATGATTTAGGAAAATAAACAGATATTCAGCACAAGGCTCCAAAACAGCTATTACAATTTTCAGGAGATTATTCAACTCATGTCAATGGCAAGGAATCTCATAAAGAAAGGCAGTAGGATATTTGTCATTAACCCCTCAAAAGTTAATGTGATCCAAGGATCAGTAAGGTTAGGGGCTACTAACACTTTAGGATAGCGTGGCAAACACAAATAATTAAAAGAGCATTGCACGATAATCAAAATGATGAAACTTACAAAGAATCAGATCCATACGCACAAAAAATGAAGATCAATACAAGTTTGTAAAGCTATCAAGATTGGTTAAAGATGCAAAAAAATTTGTTAAATTTCCGCGAAATAAGCATAGATTTA